GAGATGACATGCAGTCATCTCATTAAGACCATATGGATCAATCATACAATAACAAGCAGTGCCAGAAATCAAAGGTTAATCCGTGTCTTCTAATTTATCTTGCTGGCATAAATAACATATTTTTGTTTTGAAATGTTGAGCCCCTCAGTCCTCTTCATCTGAAGAGCAGGAAAACGTGCAGTTTATAATCAATACAACTTAATAAGCCTGAAACCCAATCAGCAATTACCTTTATTTCCATCAGACAACATTTGAGACGAGTATGTATTGAGAGACTTGTCAATCAATTTTGGGTGGGTTTGGAGTTTAAAGGTACATCCATCATCCATCTGCAAACCACTTATCCTGCACACAGGGTCACAGGGGGGCTGGAGTCTATCCCAGCCAACTTCAGGTGATAGACAGGGTTCACCCTGGACTAGTCACCAGCCAATCACAGGGCTACACAGAGACAAATGACCATTCACACTCACACACCTACAGGCAATTTAGAGTTACCAATCAACCTAATCCCCAGAGCATGTCTATGGACTGTTGTAGGAAGCCGGAGAACCCGGAGAGAACCCACGCAGACACGGGGAGAACATGCAGACTCCACACAGAAAGGCCACTGGGTGGAGTCAAACCCAGGACCTTCTTGCTGTGAGACGACAGTGCTAACCACCTCACAGTTTAAAGGTAAATAAAATGTTGAAGTTGTGCTATACTTAATATAAGTGTCATCCTGTTTTGGGAAGGATATGGCCACACATTTGTAAATCTTGATACCACATAAATCCTTTAAAACAAAATCCGTCTATTGCCCTTTGCTGTGCTCACAAAATTTTATTTATATCTCGACAAAATGGAAAACTGATTAATGAAACCTGGTCAGAAGTCTCTTGACCAGTCGCGTCTCTCAATCGTCCTCAAGAAAACCAGAAACTGTGCTCTTCAAGGCCCTATAGATATTTCGTGACAAGAGAGAAGACAACATTGCGCCAGTTTCCTGGCCTCCTTCCCCCCTCACAAGCGCCGTGATTCTTCATTACCTTTTTCGTCGAAGCAATTGGACTCTTTTCCCCATGAAAATGTACCCGATCGTAACATGACCTGTTCCAAACCCCCGTCCCCCCCTTAAGCTTCCTCTTGCGTAAGGGTCGCCCCAGATGCGTTTTATGTTTTAAATGCATGAAAGAAGATAGAACCACGTCAATTTGTTTATTGCATCAAGGCTTTTTGACTCTTTCAGGAATCTCTATTTTGACGAAATGAAAAGCCAACATCTTCTTTTTTCACTGACCTTTGTGTTGTTCGGGTCGATTTCGACCATAATAGAGCCAAAACTAAAATCATACGTGTATTGTCAGCTCCTCTCCCAATCATGTGAGCTTCAGGGATTCTCATTTGGCCTTATTGTCTAGTGTACCCGCACAAAAACAAAGACGATCATGTGAGGTCTATTCAGTACGGAGGTGGTGACTTGCAGAGTCATTTGACAAAGAAAAGGCCCAGAGATATGAAATCAATATTATCATGGAAAAGCTAACCTTACAAGGTAGCCGAGAGATGAGAAACAAATAGGATTAGAGATAATTATTTTCAGTGTATTTTACAGACATGGGTCAAAACCGACCCATTATCATAGGAGAGGGTAACAGAAAGCTAACACAAGAGGACAAATTCTACTTTCTGTTTCTCAACCAACATTGAGGACTCATGCCTGTCTACGGACTCTCAAACCAACTTAATCAGAACCATAACTAGAATCAGCTTTATTGGCCTACCCACTTTCCATTACACGCCATTTTTATTGCACTACATTTCTAGTAAAATATTTAATTTAATTTGAATGAATGCAGATCCACTATGTGATAGTGTCAAAAGATGTATCGACATAGAAATTAGAATGAGGGAAAAACAAAGGTCTGAAGTACAATCCTCACTAGGGAAATACTGCATAATAACTCAAGAACAAATGACTTTGTGCTACATATGACACCTGAGAGTCTTTTAAATGAACCCAACTTATGTTTCATCACTCTAGACAGCCGGTTAATGAGCCGGTTAATGTAACAAACAAACCTTTTACTGTTTACTTCTTTGTCGAATTAATCTCACTGGCATTTATTAGCAGGTCTTGCAGTCTCACATTTTGAACAAGGCCTTCCTAGATGTAAGCACACATGCATCTAGGTAGTCAACCAATGATTAATGGTGGGATGTTTTCGTGAAAACCATAAACCCAATTCATTTATTTCTCTCACACTGTATCGTTGTCACCAATATACTAACAAATGCTAATTGATTCACTGGTATTTGAAAAGAAAAACAAACAATTTTATGATCTTGTCAAAAATATTCCTACTTTTTTTAAAGCTGGTGTGGGTGAAGAGATTTACCAACAAAGTGTAACGACATTGACCATCGATAGCATTTCCTGGGGGGGTTTCATCATCGAGCAGGACGCGGTGACCCCAGACCAAAGGCTTCTCTCCTGCCTCTGACTCCTGGGAACCCTGCTAATGAGATCTATTTGTGATGTCGTTACCAAATGATGCTGGTTAATGACTCTGCCTGTAACAAACAAACCGTTTAATGTTCAGACTAAGCCTAATTAATCTCCTCTGCATCGGTTAAAAGGTTTTTGCACCCTCGCAATTAAAACGTGAGTGTAGTCAGTAATATTTATGAGTTTGAAGTGTTCTTGAAAAGTACAAACCCTCTAATTGTCTAAGAGTCACCTCTTCTCTGGACTTTAGGAGATCGGCCTTTAAGTTGCCTTTCTTAGTATTTGGAGCGTGATAAAAGTTTTATTAAACTTTAAAATGTTTTTATAGTTATTTGCTGTGATAACTGTTAGTCTATCAATAAATGTAACATCCACTGTTGGCTATTTAAAGCGAGGTAAATTTTGTAAAATTAAAAGAGGCAATCCACAAGATGTCTGTGCGGTCACCATGACGAATAAAATTAGGTACTGCGTATTATATTGACTGAACTGTGAAAATTGAACTGTTTGAATAAAGAAAAGTTAAAGTGACAATCGGCACAAACACACTATTTTGATTCTTTAAGTGGTTTACTGTGAATCACTGAATGGCCTTGCTCTTGTAATGTGCCATACAAATAAACTCGCTTTGCCTGTCTCTCTAACTGGGCTTCTGTGGATGACATTTTCTGCCAAATGATGTCATCCCAACTAAATGCATTGACTGAGACAATAACCTCCATAGTGTGACCTAACAAACTGAAATCATCTTATTATTATTATTTATTATTTATTATTATCTATAAATATTAGCATGAGAACTTTCCCTTACATTTTAATGAATGAGGGAAGAGATCAATTAGTCAAACAGTTCAATGGAGGGTTGTTTGTTTACAGGCGAGGTCATTAAGTGTGGTTCCCCAGTGATGCCTCCCCCCCAACTGGGAGTCATTAGAGAGACTCTTAGGCACGACCCTTTTGTCATTATGTCACTATGTCTATGTGGCAAGAACAAGAAACACTCCTAGAATTGATGGCGCACTCTAACTGTGGATTGAGAGTTTATGAATTTAAATCTTTGAATCTTAAGGCTTTGAAACAGAGTAGTTTATCCCAAATCAGGAACTTTATTATGTCGGAATGCTATTTAATCAGTGCCTGTAAAAAGTGTATAATTTTATGAGTGAAATAAGACACAGATTTAGTCATGAATAATTTCACACCATGAACGTAGACGGAACTGTAAAGGTCCTGGGTCGGGTCACATGAGTCTCATGAGCAGAGAAAAAAACACAGGAAACGGCTAGTGAGTCATACAAACCAAACCAATCCCACAGACACCAGGCAAAAATCCTAAATCTAAATAAAGGTATTAACTTACTTTTTTTTCTATGAAAAGCTGACATTCATCTGCGTAATAATTAGTAGACTGTGTTGACTTCCGCGAATGATAAGCCTTCCGTATTTGAGTGCAAATCTATGGCGCCTTGTAGATGGTTGATGGTCGAAACATCCTCCTTCCAACCAAACATTCAGCAATCGCCATGAGTTGTTGCAACCGTGAACAGCACAATATGTCCCGGAGCCGTGTCGGCGTGTAACACCATCCATAGTCTACTTTTTCTGCACGCTAACCAAAGACAGTAAAAGACGCTAACTCGCTAACCGGAAGTGCTTGGCAGACACAACCGGAAGTCGTTGGCAGAGTGAAAGACCAATGGCGGCCCGCCTATTTCACTCAGGAAACTTGTGTATAGTGAATGAGAAATAAGGAGGACACGAGGACAGATGACAGCAGAGGTTATTGACAAAAAAATAAACAGGAAACACACGTAAGGTCAACGGGGTGTTACAGGGGAAGAACTCTGAAAGGGTCGTGTACTGTTATGCTTTAGTTGCACGTGTGGAATCCGGTCGTAATAGTTGGTTTGAGATTGTGGAGTGGAGAGAGCTCTTTGAATGGGCTGAAAAATGACGGACAGGTTGTCAGAGCAGATGGTGTTTTCTCTGAGGTAACGGGCCGATGTGACCGGTCAGAGGATCGGCAACTTCTCTCAAGCGAAGAACAGCATGAAATATTCAAACTGCTGAGACTTCAGTTATTTTTCACGGCCGTTTGAACAAGAAGCTGGCTGTTACTCACTTGTGCTGCTCAAACAGAATCGCTTGGAGATGATCAGAGGAGCTACAGTAGATGCTGCTGAGATTCAAACAATTAGTACTTTGAATGACTATTTATCATCAGGCATTTATATTCTTTTTTCATTTGTAGAATTACTTCAGTGATTAGAAAATGATGGATGGAAATATATTTGTGTGGTAGAGCCAATGGTGTGCTAATGTCACCTGTACTGCAGAAAAAACTGCAGAAAAAAAGGAGAGTTATATAATTCTGTTTGGAAACACAAGCACATGAATGCCAATACCCATAATTGGTACTTTCAGATCAGATTAGAATTTCTCTTTATCTCAAATGTCGAGTGATGCATTTATGTTATAATAGGTGACCGTTATTCTTTTTAAATGACTGCATTGTAGCTTTAATGTTATAACATAAGGTGGGAATCGATCAATAAACATCTATCATTTCTCTTTAAGCTATCATTATAAAAATGGCTTTCAAACTAGAAACAAAACAGCTATTCTGTTACTGAGGGCTGCTGGCATAACAAATCAAGATAACTAATAACTAACATCTCATTTTTAATTAATGTATTGATGGAGGGGTTTATGCTTATATTTCCTACCTACCCATTCAGTATTAAGTAATCAGCATCATAGTTTGGAACTTTGTTTGAAACTTTTGATGAAATGACAGGGCCATAAGTTAAGTAAGTTCAAGTGTGTCTGTGAGTCATTAGAGTAGAGAAACAGCTGTGATTGGCATTAGTTGGATTTCTTAGACAGCTGTTTCTGTGCCTGGATTATATCCGGTCTCGGTCTTCACTCTCCCGTGAACTCAAACACAGTCAAGACCACAACTGGCAGAAAATCATAAAGTGTCCTCTACATTTTCTGATTTATTTGTTTCCATAATAACCGTGTTTGCGCATACATTAGACTACTATAAGGACAATATCCTACTTATACAATTCTTCTGTGAAATGCCTCATACAGTGTATAGTAATAAAACCGGGGGAATTAGTTTGTTTTTAAAATCAATGTCTTCACATTAAATGTATGAGTGACATTGGTTTGCCTGTTTATTATTAGTGTGTCATGCTGTGTGGGGCTTGTACCGCTCCAGTCCTGGTCGTGGTTCTAATTTATGGAATTCCTGTCAACAAGTTCACCCACCAAAAGCAGCACCTCGCTTGAAAGAACTCAATTCAAATTACCGTGTGAAATTTTGGTAATTGATCATTTCCCTTCATTGAGGTATTAAGAACTCTCTCCCTCGTAAGCTCATCTTATGCTTCTGCTTGACAATTGAAAGACAAGTCAACGGGTTTAATTAGTGTACAGATCTGAGACACCTAGACAGCTTGTTAAGACAGGATCTGTCCTCCAGGTCAAAGGCCAATCGACCAGCCAATTGTGTTTATCCACTGATCAAAACTCAGGACAGGAAGGAAGCCTTCCTCTCTAAAACTCCACGTGGCTCCGATCAAAACCCACAACCTCTGATCTAAGAGGCCAGACAAATGTTCACAACATTACACTCGAGAATATTGGTTCCCATGATTTGTAGTTTCAGTGAGTAGGCCGAAAATGGAATTATTGATTGGAGTCCAGACTTGAAATGGGATTGATTATGCCATCATTTTCTTCCTTGTGTTGTCCAATACTTGTGTGATAGTCTGTCTTTAACTCTTTAAAGGTCTAATCTTACTATTTGTGAACTTTGGCTGTTTGAATTAAGTTGTCTAAATAATATGATGAAATGCCAAATGTCAAGTGTTCCCTGAGGGTGCATTTATCAACAAACAGGGCATGGTGACCCCAAACAAAGGGATTCATTCCTTCGTCTTTGACTCCCGGGAGTCTCTCTAATGAGCTCCTATTATGGCGGCATTATCATTGAATGACTTAATGACCTTGCGTGAAAAAACAACCTTTTGGTGGGTTTTTCTTCTCCAGGCAGCCGCAGTCCCCAACTTTAATTCTAATCCCCAAAATCTGAAGTCTTATATCACAGCTACATCTGACAATTCATCTTCAAGGGCGAAGAGAGACAGCAAATTTAAAGAGACAGATTTCTCTAGAATGCAGTGTGATCTTTCAAGATTTCCTCTATGTAATATAGGAATATAGGCCTAATATAGGAATATAAGCCTAGTGTAAATGAGCAAGTCAACATTTAGCAATTTCATACCAATGTCTTTGTACACCATAAGGTCACCTCCACTTCTTTCATCCACGTTAACAACTTATTTTTCCGTCTGTATGTGAACATGGTTGTTCACACAAAATCAAAAATGCCGTTTGCTTACACACACATAAAAAGATCACCCTAACCAGATCGATTTGACGCTCCTCCTGCTCTTTCCCACTACGCCGAACTCCACTTCCAACAATCTATAACCAGTAATCACCAGGTTATAAACGGACTCTTTTCCACATGTCACGTCACAAAAGTGGTCCATCAGCGCTTGATGGACTATGAGACGTCAGAGGGAAAGTGTTGCCACACGGACAATAGTTGAGGCCATTTAAACATTTTTCCCGAAGTTCAGATGCTCAAACATGATTAAATAATCTGAAATTAGCAGCCACTCAACAATGAAGATGATATTTTCTAATTCCTTTTAGACCCGCCCCCCCATTGCAGTCAGGCTTTGGCCATCCACCCCGAGCCCAGAAGATGAGTCATCACTTTACATAAGTCAAGGACATTTGGTGTCTGGACTAAAGAACTCTAACAAATCTTTTCTCTACCTCCCCTTTCTTTATCTGTCTCTTTCCATTCTTTCTGTTTCGCCGGGCTCAGCTTAAAGTCCGTCTCTGCGTCCTTTACAAAGTCACTCAACTGGATAAAGTAATTTACCTGGATGAAGGGAGCAGGAGAAGGGAATGGTCCAGGAGAGGGAGGGTGTGACGTCTGGGGCCTGCAGCAAGTCTTTCTTCCGAGTTTTTTAAGGAAAATGTAGCCAGATTGCAGGGGAACAATAAAATAGAGCAATGTTAAAGTAAAGTGCAGTCGTTTTGACCAACAACAGAACAAGGTGTTGTCTGTATTTGTATATTCACGTCCCAGAATCTAAATAGATAGAAAAGTGAGTGAAAGCAGGAGAATCAACACTTATTCCGTTTAGCCAGCCACTTGATCCGATGCACAAGCATATTAATCAACTCTTACATTATAATTATAATTATAGATTATAAATGGAAATAAAAATGGAAAGCTGGAACACATTCCTGCTCTCGTGCTGTTTCCCAGCTTTTTTAGTTTGACCTTCAGTGCAGACGGCTGATGCGCTCAGGGGTGGAGAGAGATACCGACTTCGTGGCTTGCTGCTCAGGGTTTATAACAGAGCTAATGCGATTAACAGCGTTGATGCCTGTGATGCCTTTCTGTTACACTGTGTATCCCTCAAGCAGCGGACCTCTACCAGCCTAACGATTTGGAGCTTTGAAAAGAAGCAGGTGAGGTAGTCGATACCTTTTCTGGCGGGCAGAAGTGCTGAGGATGGGACGTTTTCAGTAAAACTTCACATGGAGACAATGCACTCATTCACACCTGCTTGTAGCAATGCTACAAAAACCTTTTTACAAAATATGACCAGGAAACACTTGCTGTGTTTAATGGCCGCAAGAAGTCAACACTCCTGACAATGATGATAAAATGCACTGATGTAAGGAACACTGCTAACTCGCCATTTTTATTTGACTTTTTATTCATGGTTTGGTTGCTTTTCTGTGCCTACAATAGTCGCATTCATGGTTAGATTCCTCCACTTCCTCTTCTGACCCTTCACAGATAAATTCACCATGTGTCAAATGATACACGTGTGTTATTTTCAGAGATCAAAGGCTGTTTGAAAGGTCCATGTTGTTAACCATGTTCCTGATGATGAAACGTGACTTACTCCAGCATCACCTGCTTGCACTAACATGGCATTCGCCAGCTCCTTTGCCTCTGTCTTACCTGCCCAAGTCTCCTTCTCAACCACTTTTCTCTTTCGCCCGTTACAATATGCACTCCCTCGGTAGATTACAAACGCAAATACCTGTTTCTGCCTCTGGAGACTTTTGAATATAGGCCATTTGTTTGCAGCAGTGAGTAAAGGGCTGCAGTTTTCACATATTCCATGTATTCACTGTTTCATTCCAGTTTTTTTAAATCACAAATTCTATATTTCTTCACTACCTTTATTTGTCACTGTGTTATTAAGATAATACTAAGTTATAAGGCAAGCTGCTTCAGAATGTGCATATTAAGATGATGCATGGAAAGCATTTCTATAATACGTCAAAACAATGTATACTAATAGGGCTTGGACGTTTAAATATTCATGGTCACCAACTACAATAGTCTCTTGAAGTCTGTTAACTGTGTTTGGCTGTGTGCATATGCCAGTGTGAGCGGAACGCCACATGCAGTTTATTGGCCAGCTGCTGAGACTGTTTTTAAAGACGATTGTTGTGGAGTAGTGTGTGTGTGTGTGTGTGTGTGTGTGTGGGGGGGGGGGTTCTGATGTCTCAGCGGGTCAGACAGCCACGTTGGCCAGCCGCGGGTCGGAGTCCTGCTCGTAGCGGTAATGGTAGACCTCCATCTGGTCCCGGCACGCGTCCCTGATGTTGTTGAGCCACCGTTTGATGCCTCCCCGGTTGAGATACAGCACCATCAGGAACACCACCCCGATCAGAGCCAACACTATCCCGAGGAACACGTACGAAACCGCCTCGAGGTTCTCGCTCATACAATCCACGTCCTCCTCGCGGAGGTTCTCCACGGGAACCCCCCTCTTGGCCTCCGGCTCGCTGCACAGCAGACGCCCAGCATCCGGGCACTGGGAGGAGTTCTTCAACCAGTAGTAAAACGCCCCTAGTTCGCAGTTGCACCGGAACGGGTTCAACGCCAAGTAGACGCGAACGCGCTTTTGTTGGTACAGCGTTGTTACGTCTCCCCCCCCTACGCTCGTTATGGAGTTATTTATCAGCACCAACGCGTGGAGATTGTGCATATCTAATCGCAGCGGGGGGATTGACTTCAGCGCGTTTCCCGCTAACTCCAGCCTGTGCAGGTTCAGCAGGCTTTGCGCGTCGAGCGCATTGGACAGCTGCTCCGTGGCCGCGGGGGAAATGGAGTGGTTGAGGTAAAGAGAGCGAAGCTGCAGTAGCCCGTGGAAAGCCCTGCCAGAGATGTACTCCAGCTGGTTGTGGCTCAGATCCAGCAAATGCAACCGGGGGAGTCCCAGGAAGGCGTAAGGTTCGATCGCGCGTATCCCGTTACGGGACAGCGAGAGCGTGGTCATTTGCAACTCCGTCCCGTTGCTCATGAACGCACCGCGACGTAAAGTTGAAATGTTTCTCCCTTGGAGTATCAAGGTGGACGTCCACTCCGGTATGTCTCCCGGCACCTCGGTGTCCTCCCCATCACGGCAGGTCACTGTCCCCGGGTCTTTGGCACAGATGCAGGATGTCGGGCAAACATTGTTCGTCCTGACAGGAGAAAACAACAGACACACCACTGCTGCGTAATACAAACACCACTGGTTCCAAATGAAAAAAATACACTTTGAATTGTCGGAAAATATCCACATCTTCTCCGTTATTTAAGTCTCGAAGCAAGTCTGTGCCCAAGTGTCTTAGAAAGAAGGTGACCGACTGCTACCCTGTCAGGCATGTAAAGTCGATTCAGTCCGTATTCGGTTACTTCCAACTATCTGGAGAGATGGAAAGAAAGAAAAACTCGCTCACAGTCGCCTCGTGTCTCTGTTAGAAAACTGGATTTTTCCTTGGGATACTTTGCATCGGTACGCTGGACAGTCGAGTGTGGCTGAGTGAAGAGCTGCGGGTGTACGCGCTCCCGTGGTGGTATTTCTGACGTCTGTCACACATAGAGAGAGAGAGAGATAGAGGGGAAGAGAGAGACAGAGAGAGAGAGAGAGAGACAGAGAGAGAGAGAGAGAGAGAGAGAGAGAGAGAGAGAGAGAGAGAAAGAGAGAATCCTAACCAAAATCAAACCAACTTGTTAATCTTTAAATAGCATTAGTACAAACCTTATGTTACAAGAAGACTCGCTGGAGTTATTGTCACGTCTCTTGCAGCTAAAAAACAACCGTAATTTATGTAATCTTGTGTTTTTTGCTGTTGGTGTAATTAGGTGAGGGCAGTCAAGCCTGTTCGATGAGGTCTCTGTCAATTCTGCTGGATTGATCCCTTTTCCAAGGAAAGAAATCAGACTTTTGGAGGGTTTCGCACGTTTCCCACCCATGGTGTTGGAAAACAGATCACAAAACATTGAATGCACAAGTCACCTCTAAAAGAGAGATAAGTGATGCTGCACTGACAACGGGTCATTGTGTTCTTGCAGATGAATAAACCACAAACTCACACTGTAACATATCGCTGTAAATTCACGGTGCATTTCTAACGGTATCTTACAGTATGTCATAATAACTGTAACGTACAGTTAAATTTCCATCCCTTGCTTGTAAATTAACGGCCAATATCAAGAATAAACAGTTAAAGCTGTCAATTTACAATAATAGCAGACTACCGTAATTCAACTGCATGTTACATATATTTTATGAAGTGGTGGAAATACACATACAAGTGCAGTGAATCACAATCCATCTACATCTGTTGTAGGTTAATGTATGGAAGCCCACGTCAGCCACTGAAAAACAGGTCCTGTAAGTCATCATAATGAGATAGTATCTCATGAGATACGATGATGACTTTGACTTACAAGACATTACTATACATGCAGCTGTCACTTTTATCAAAAACGGCCATGGTTTGACATAATTTTATGTGGAGTATTTGGGGGTTAGGTGTCTTGCTCAGGGACACTTCAACTTGGCACAGGGAGCAGCCAGGATTCGAACCACCAACCTTGTGCTGCACAGCACACCCTCCCTAACCCATGCGCCGCCTTGGCTGTCGTTTCAGTGGCCGGAATGTAAAAAATATAAATATTTGCATTATTCAAAGTGTTCATTGCCTAAAAGTCATTTGAGTGTTAATCGTGACCGACTGCTCCTGAACGTGACGTCGGACGCGTAATCTCAGTTCATCCAGAACACCTGTGCAGTTCAACATCGGAGGAGTTTCTCATTGCCTCATCTCTCATCTCTCCAAGTAACGTTGGTAAGTGTTATTTGCCTAGCATGATTAACATTCTCCTTCCTTACATCTTGTTGTCTTCCTCAACTTTGTAATTTTAATATTTTACAATGACAGTGTTTCTAAATATCTTATTTTGGTTTGTTTTACACAGGCACTGGATTAAGGACACTTGCCGTTTGCTGCAGTCAATTGAAAGTGTTCCATAGCGTATTGTTGCAGTTAGTTTACCTTGTTCCTAATGATTTTATGATACATTTTTTTAATATTGTATACATGCGGCATATTTTATGTTTTGATCTTGGTTACAAATGCCGAACATTTTTGTCCTAAAGAAACTCCAACCACTATGACCGAAATTAGTTTGGTTGTCTGACTTTAATTTGTGGGGAATTAAATGCCGAAGTATACGGTTATTAGTAAACGGTAACATTCTGGTATTTATTACACAAAAAAAGTAATCGTATGGTAAGAAACTGTAATCCAATATACGACAACATACAGTAAATTACGGTAGGGCACTGTAAATAAAACAGTAAGTTACTAGCGTCGACTGCCAGTAAATTGCAGTTAATTCACAGTAAAATTCGAGTTTACGGTAACATACAGTAATCCATTTTACGGTAACATAGTGTAAAAACCATTTACGGTATTATACCGTAAAATAACGGTAAATTCCTGACATCCTTGCTGCCAGTAAAATACCATTAATTTACGGTGGAATTTTTTAGAGTGCAGTCTTTTGGATTTATGCAGGGATGAAATGAATCACACTGTAATTGAGCTAGAAAGGATTGGGTGAAATTTTGATATAAGGGGCGCGGAGGGAGATCTTTTATTTGATGTGCAATTAGTGACAGTATTCTAACTCTTCCCTTCACCAAGCATCATAATTAAGGACACATTATCAAGCCAGAATCACAGTCAATGTATCTATTTGATGTATTTAAGTGGTGAGCAGGAAGTAAAGAGTGATCGAAAGAAAGGCTGCTCCCAGTGAGGTTCAGCACTACGGACAGCTCCACAGAGAACTACAATACTGTGGTGTGAAATCATGCTTACAGATGATTATAGATCCTTGAACCCTACAGCACAACTCTGGAACTGAAATGCAGTCGCGTTCTTTAGTGTTCAGGCAGGGTCAAACCGGGATGTCAGTCCAACAGGCAAACAAATCCAAAAAGGGGCGCATGTAAAAATCCTGGGTCGGGCAGAGGGCACGAGTAAGTGAGGGGACCTGAGGGACTAATGGGGGAATGGGCTGCAGGTGAGAGAGATGATCTGGTGTGGATGACAGGATCTGGAATGACAGGAGAGTTAATTAAACAAGCAGGCAGGATGAAAATTAATAAGGCGGAGAATTCGTGACAGTTGTTCTGTGTTCACAAGGAGGCAATGAAAGAAGTACCCCGCAATGGAAAGATGTAAGAGTGAATAGAAGAAAAGTGGAAGGCACAAAGAAATTCAGACGTCAGGAGAGAAGACTGCTTCAGCACCATGGATGGCACCAAACAGCGGCACATTTCAAAGGCTTTGCATTGAATGGAGCAAAGAAAAGAAATAAAAATACATGTAGAAGCAGAGAATGTTTGTAAAGGCTCAATAATAGTTGATTAATGAAAGTACAACAGAAGGGATAAAGCTTCTCAACAGTATCAACAACTCTCTCTGTTACGTGGGGTCCCATTTATAATAGACATTTTGCACAGAAATAACTTTCAGGATGACCCCATCACGATTCCCTTTTAGCGAACCAAGTTTAATTCAAACCATTTGGGGTTTAATTAATTATAGCAGATGCAAAGTAACAGTAAGCTGCCATTAGTCAGTGCTGACTTGTAGTCACAATGAGCACGGCTTTGGGGCCGTTCTTTTTCTCGTTTGTTTACTGAATAAGCACACACATAGACCAAGAGCATCAGACTGTGTGTCCTGTCCTGATAAAGAAATAGGTGTTTCTGCAGTCTCCCTTGTATTTAAGGGCTAGGATTTTCAGTTTTCAAGAGTTTTATGGCATCATCTGAAATTAATGTCATTGAACATCAAATGGATCAAAACATGGCATCCTCCGTTTGTTTCAATGATTTAGACCCACAGTATCATGTATCTAGCTTATATGCTTATCTCACATGGCCAGATGTTTACACAGGTGTCCTATGTAGCTGCATGTGTGTGAAAATCCAAAACTCCATACTCATATTTGTCTTTTTTACATCTCCCTGTACAGGCATCGTGTACTGCGACAAAAAATAAAAATGGAACCTCTCTGCTGGGATTCACAGAAGCAGTAGGAAAATGTCAAAGTATTCTTTTAATGGAAAAGACAAACCCTAGAAGACATTCAGTCGTGTTGTGTGTACTTAATGGGGGTCCACTGGGGAGTTTTGAGCTTATTGCAGTTTGCTGTCATTCTCAAGAGCACTAAATCTGGAACGGGTAGACAAAAAACGACCAGGGTGGCAATATAAATGTAAACACTGTGCGACAGAGTGGCAACAACACAGAAAGCAATCGAGAAGGAAGGGGAAAGGCCTTCCTGCTGGAGCTGCAGATAAGCACAGGAGGCCACATTAATGCGTGTTGTCTTGCCTATTACGCTGGATGGGATAGTAGTCCTTCCTCCAAACAAACCCTGTTTGTCCACCTCTGTGTGTGGACAAACAGGGTTTCTTGTTTTGTGTTCTTCTCTTAGGAACCCTCCACTCCACAAGTGTTTGCTCTATCTGCCCGTTCAGAGGGGTGATTTAGTGAGGGCTGTTGTTCACAGGCTGTTGCTGGGGTATTGTTATAGTGCCCTCCTCGCGACCTTCAACTTGATACTGAACCTTGTAATTGATTTACTCAAGGCGGCCCATCCCTATCTCCTGACCACAGCGCACGTGTGTGTATGTGTGTGCGTGTAAACTTGAGTTGCCAATAAACTTGGCAGTTGAGTTTTCCTCAAATCCTCATGTGTGTCATTATTTCTGAAAGCTACGGTGCACATGGTAAATTAGCAGCGTCACATTATGCGTGCACTGTGTGTGGAATTGTAAGCCCACTGCAAATTCTACCTCCACATTTTAATTTCCTCTTTCATCCCGCCTGTGTCCCTCGTCTATCATTAACCTTGTTTTAACAGGCGACCAGATCTGTTCTTTGTCTTCCCTCCAGCTGGTACACGACCGACGCATGCAAGACCTTTAACTACATATTAGGAATCAGGAATCAGGAATCAGGAAACATTTATTAGCCAAAATATGTCAAACATACAAGGAATTTGTCTTGGCTGTTAGTGCGCGACAGTAGACAGACAAGACAACAGTGCACAAGTAATAAAATAAAGTGGAATGAAATGCTAATGCTAATGCGTTAGTAGAATAAGGCTATGGGTTAGTAAACAACAAAAACAACAAAAAACGAAGCGCACCGAAGCACCGAGGCGGCCATCAACGGCGCCATCTTGGATGTTGCAAATGAAATGTTAGTCAAAAGAGACCTAGATATAATACAATTTGACGTAAGCAAAGGACAAGAGGATACAAACAACATGTAAGGACATGGAGAGTCATCTGGGTCAGGGCTTGAGGGTATAACAATGCACAAACTGGTTCAGTAGGTGTAAGAGCTCCCGACATCCCAACACAGCACCACGGCCATCTCTCTTGTACAGTGTCATACAGGGGGGACACTGTGTGATGATGCACATTAAAAAGTTTGCAGGCTTCCCATTGTTGACACTGACTTACACTGGCTTCTGACTGTTTGCAATTTGCA